GACTAGATCTTTCTTTTCTGCAGACAGAATCTGGGATCAGTCTTGCCTATGCAGTGGGTACCGGGAGCTCTTTCCCTGGGGGTAAAGCGGGAAGGGTGTGAAGGCGACCATTTACCTCCAAATAGTGCCGAGGTCAAGAATGGTGGAGCTGTACGTATCTATTCTCCCCGATATGTCTTCATGGCGTGGTGCTTAATTAATTAAGCGAATGGACAAATTTACCTTTAGCTTTACTTGGGAGATCCCATATTTGTGAACACCTCGGCTCAAAGTTTCCTTTCTAAAATGTCTTCGAGTGTGTTTGCGTGTGTGTGTGTGTGTTTTGGGAGGTGGAGGTTAGAGGCGCGTTAGCTTCCGCAAAAAACTCAGCGGCTTTAGTCCGCAAGCGAACTATACCGACTGAGCGACCGCCGCTTGTCGGCGAAGTTAGTGCCAACTTTAGCGGATAGAGAGTGTCGCGTGGTCAGAGCAACGACTCCCCACGGCCGTTAATTTCGGTTTTCTAGACCGAAGCCGCTACTTTTTCCATTCAAGTAGCTCCTCAGTTATCCTCACGAGGCTGAGTGGATCCCGTTCCAGACCCACTACTTTTCCGAAAATCTGGTAGCGCCGGGAATTGAACTTGGGACCTCTGGATATGTAGCCAGGAACTCTGACCACTAGAACACAGAGGAGTTAGCTTCCATGGTCATATTAATCTGTGTATAAATCGAGCTAGAAAACCTTTCATGCAACACAATCTACAATAATTTCCGCGCTATGAATAAGCAATTTTATGGAAAGAGACCTCTGCTATGAAGACTTTAGCACGCACAGTATGCTGAAAATAGAGTCCAGCAAATTTATAATGATTACATAGCGACACACGTTGCTGCATGATTATGATTCATCCTCAGAGAAGTTTCAAACACAGAGTACAAGCTTCCTGCACCAGAAGTACGTTTAGTCAACCAAATCTGCAAAGTAAGAAAAGAGGGTAAGAAGGAAAAGAGAAAGAAGGCAAGAATAGAGATATTGTGTATAAAACAAATAATGAAAGAACGGGAAATTAATCTAAAATCTGCCATAAGAGGACACAAAGCCTAATCGGCTTTAAATAAATATCAAACGGGGGTGGGGGTGGAAGGATGTAGAAGAGTGATCTTGGGAGAGTCGGAAAGAAAGGAAGTCAAAATTCCTTAAAGAAGACAGACGAGAAGCGAATAAGAAATAATTATCAGAGTTTCGCTGAACTGTGCGGACGGATTCTTGCACATGCCTGAGGATCGGAAGGGGGGGGGGAAGTCAATGTTCTGAGGACGAGGGAAAAGCCGGGCCACTTCCGGCCGCCCGCCTATCTCCCCGTCTTCCTCAATCGACCTTTGTGGGACCCAAACCACCGACATTTCTACCAACATATACCTTTTCTGCTCCCCTTTCAAAATATTTCCATTCCATAAAAAATATATGTGGGTGCAGTTGTACTTCCATAACAAGAGTGCAGAAGTAAGCGGTTATACTTACATTGGGCTCACAGACTTAGAAGCGTACTGAAATTACAGTTGTCGCTGATATACGTATAAGGCAAAAGTAAAGTTGTCCCTCTGCTGAACCTATTAAGCACTATAACATGAAGGCGTATAGGGGAGTCGATGTATGGATCCACATTTTCTTGATCTCGGCACTAGCTGGAGGTGAACGGTCAGTTTCACGTCCCAGCCGCTTTACCCCTGGGGAAAGAGCCCCCGGTACCCATTGGCTAGGAGACTGGGTAGGCCTCAGAGTTGGTTCTCGACGACGTGGAGAAGAGAAAATTCTTGCCACCACCGAGACTCGAACTCCGACCCCTCGGTCGTCCAGCCCGTAGCCATTCGATATACCGACTGCGCTATCCAGGCTCCGTCGCTGATATATGATTGTAATAAAAGCAAGAAGTTCTGGGAAGAACTAATCGCCTACCTTACTATCAGTATTTATTATCTGATACGACACGGTCCATATGAAAAACACAGCGTCCAAAATTTGCGTGTGTGTTCTTTGCCGCGGTAAGGTGTATACCAAGCTGTTGCCTAACAAAGATATGGGGGCACAGTGGCACACAGATAGCAAGGTAATCTCATAAGCCTACTACTTTTGTTCAGGTTAATAATCTTGGATTTGAAGTTTTGTCAGCAATGATTGTGATGGATGAGATGTCCTTGGTTATAACAGCGCAGAATTCGAAGAAACCTCGACCTTCCGTCTACAAAGTCGAGGAGTGTTCTCGCTCTGCTTGCTGTCTGTTTCTTATTGATTTCTTTACTATTCGACCCTTAAGATGGACGCGAAGCGTCCTGGCGTTTTTAGAAATGTACGAAATGTACGTTATCTTGAGCATCTTGAATAGAAGGATGAAATGGGCAGGACATGTAGCACGAATGGGAGACAAGAGGAATGCATATAGGACATTGGTGGGAAAGCCGGAAGGAAGGAGACAACTAGGAAGACCAAGACGTATGTGCGTGGACAATATTAAAATGGATCTTAGGGAGATACGATGGGATGGTATGGATTGAATAGATCTGGCTCAGGATAGGGCCCAGTGGGTGGCTCTTGTGAACAATGAGTGTCAGTACTGCGGCTGGGCTCCATCCGACTGCAGCTATGGCCACTAGAGCTTGAACCTGTTTGACTTCTGCCCCCGCCTCAACATTTGGATAGTGTTTGCATTCTTCGTGGCTTGGGTGTCGAGGCAGAGCATGGGAATTGTTATGTTTCCGGCCTTGGAGGTGCTGGGAAGTATAGTTTTGTATCCAGCGCAGAGTGGTCTGTGCGCAAGTGGAACTCTTGTCGTAGAGGCACTTATGGAAATCTTCTAGTGTCTCAGCGTCTTGATCTAGTAGGATATTACTTGTTTCTGTCAGCCCTTTACTTATGTTACTTACAATGCCCATCGTCTTAGGCAAAGTTACGACACAACGTTTCGGGAGCTTGATTTGCTTCCGCCATCAGGTGTAAGCAGAGAAGTGGACACTCCTCAGCTGTGCCCGTCAGAAGTTAGTTCCCAACTGAGTACTCAGTTTCGCATATGTACACGTGATAACAGAAGCAAATCCAGCTTCCCAAACGTGGTGAATTTTAAACGTAGGCCATCCTAAGTTCAAAAGTTAAGTTGTTCCTGTACTTGAATATATGAATGAATGTATGAGGGGTAGGCTTTCTCGGTCCTTGCACCGCGACCTACAGTGGTCTATTGTGCTTTGTTCCTGTACTTACTTACTCATGGAGCTGAAACCTTCTGGAGGAGCCGCCAATTCTGCAGCTACTCAAGAATTTCCAAGCATTTTATGGAACCCGAAGGTTCATTACCGTGTTCACAAGAGTCCTCCACTGGTCCCTATCCTGAGCCAGATCAATCTAATCCATACCATCCCATCCTGTCTCTGTAAGCTCCATTTTAATATTGTCCATCCACCTACGCGTTGGTCTTCCCAGTGGTCTCTTTCCTTCTGGCTTTCCCGCCAATATCCTATACATATTCCTCGTCTCCCCCATTCGTGCTACATGCCCTTCCCCCCTCATCCTTGACTTGATCATTCTAATTATACTTGGAGAAGAGTACAAGTTATGAAGCTCCTCATTATGCAGTTTTCTCCAACCTCCTGTCACGTGTTGTTCCTGTACTTAATTAATTAAGCACCACGTCATGAAGAAGTATGTGAGAGTGGAGGTATAGCTCTACCAATCTTCACTTCTGTACTAGCTGTAGATGAGTGGTTAGTTTCAGAATCCGGCCGCTTTACCCCCGATACCTACTGATATTCATTTAAGGATATTCATCTAAGGCTAAAGGCGATGTCCGCTCTAATAGTTATATAATGGCTGGTGTCGCCTTGTATCGGCAAAGAAAGATACGTAAGCCTAACATAAAGACATTTCGCTCATTCCGTAATTATATTCTGAAGTACTCAGTGACAGGTATTTGCCACAAAGTTTCCTCACCAAGATGCTCTCTGTGCACTCGTACCGTGATCCTCAGGAAAAAGGTTGAGTTTATCGCTCATTCTGTTTACACTGTCCCTTCGAAATTCATTCCCTGGGATTAATGTCCAGTAAATCCAACCTCCTGAAGTTTTAATCAACATTTATATGAAAAAGTGGCATACGTCAAATTTAATTATTTTACCCTGTCTCTCTCACTCATTTCGAACTAGTGTCGAGGACAGGAATGCATGGATCTATACATCCACTCCCCCCCCATAAATCTTAGTGGCGTAATGCTTAATTTATTAAGCACAGGGACAAGTTTAGCTTTACTTAAACCTGTACTTCTCTACCTCCCTCTCCCTCTACGGTCGTCTGGGTACATATCCTCTTAGTTTTGTAGAGGGTTCCTGGATAGAGATCCAGAGGTCCCGGGTTCGATTCTCGGCGCTACCAGATTTTCTGAGAAGTCGTTGGTCTGGAACGGGGTCCACTCAGCCTCATGAGCATAACTGAGGAGCTATTTCAAGGAAATAGCGACTCCGGTCTAGAAAACCAAAATTAACGGCCGTGGGGATCCGTTGCGTTGACAACGCGACACTCTCTATCCGTTAAAATTGGCATTAACTTCACCGACAAGCGGCGGTCGCTCGGTCAGTATAGTTCGCTTGCGGACTACAGGCCACGGAGTTTAGTGTTTAGTTTTAAAAATCTGACGCTTCGGAGGAACGTATAGCCTCCATCTGCAGGGTCGAGGTGTGAGCCAAAGAAAAAACTAGCGGGAAGCAGGCAGAGTGACTGGAAATTAGACATGACACATGCCAGTTTCTCCCCTTTTCAGCCGATGATTATCCTTTCATTCATTCTCTCGTAGTTCCTTTACTACCTGTATCAGGCCGGGTTTGCCACGAGAAGTTTGTTCTGCTTACCGCTTTCTCCTTGCTGGTTTTTTTTCTTGGTTTACTCTTCGAGCCTGAAGACGGAGGCGACATGTTCCTCCGAACTACACAGCGTTAAAATTCAGAAGACAGGGTCACAGATGTGAGTAGGCCACTTACCGACTGAGACAGCGAACCAGGCCGCTCGATGGTCTGATGCGATGAAGGGTTCGTCGCCCTGCAGGATGTGACAGGTACGACCTAGAGGAAGATGAACCATTTTGTGTTATTTCTGCAGCAATTTCCCACGATATTTCGTACATATGTAGGACCCTCAGGTAACTCGTTCATTGACCTCACAAGGGACGAGACAGGTAGAGGATTTTTGTGTTTGCAGGGATAGAAAATGGCAAACATGTTTGTGTCTACTAGGAGAGAGATTCCAGAATCGCCGGAGTCATTCTACCGAAATTATTATTTCAAAAGAACTCGTTCGTTGAACTCTCCTTCCCTTCACCGGACTGACTACCTCGAGAGTTGCCTCAAATCTGTTTACGTTCTTCCTACGCACAGCAAGAACGGCTTACATCCCACGTTACGCCTTTGTGTGAGTTTATGAACTTCTCCTGATTTTAACAGCACAACCTTCTGGTTTGTAATGCCGCATATTTCGGTGGAAGACCACCGATGTTTCGATAAAATATATTGGTTCCATCTTCAGCGTTGAAGAGTAAGCCAGGCAGGTTCTGGTTGTCTTGTTCTTCTACTCTGAAGATGGAAGCTATGTGCTCCTCCGAAATGTCAATGGTCTCCTAAAGAAGTGAACATCATTACAATCCCCGGCAAATTGTGTCCTTTATTGTACCTGTTGTGAGAACCACAAATCCAATGCATTCATTGGACTTCATTAGTAGAGAGGCACAAGGCTTGTTGCATTGCTTCGCTGTGTATACACATTCCGTTCGTGTGCATGCCCCTGTATTTGTGGGTCCATATTGGTCACAACCAGTCTTGTGATAAGAAACTCGTTTAAATAAAGTGGTTAATGTGAATGCAACACTGTCCGGAAAGAATGCGACATGTACTTAAGAATTTCAATTTAGTAAAATATTAATATAGCTAATAGAAGCTGCTATGCTGAACACTCAGTTCCATGCAATGCCGAGGTCAAGAACTGTTCCCACATACATCTTCATTCGTGGTCCTAAATTGATTAAGTACATGGAATTTTTCTATGAACAGATGGGATTACTACAACTAATTGCTATGATTTGAAGCTTTACCGGATACCGAATGAAATTAATTCTTCTCGGACGATCAACCGTGTCAGTATAGAATGCAATTCGGACGTTTCAGGAGTATAAATATAAATTACAACTTCAGAAGGAGCACAGAATTTCTTCTTAATAAAATATAAACATTCAGTTCGTACCTCATAGGAAACATTACGTCACCGCTACAAAGCCCAACCGATTAATGATATTTGGGGTAAAAGTCATTGTTTATTGCGAGAACCATATGAAACACACAGATACTATTATTTGGGCAGAATTTTGGTGTGTTAAAGCTGGTGGTAAGTATAGAAACCCGCGCCATAGCTCAAGCGGTTAGTCGCTGGCTTCCCACTGCGGCGGCCCGGGTTCGATCCCGGGTCTGGTCAAGTGGGATTTGTGGTGGACAAAGTGGCGCTGGGAAAGGTTTTCTCCGAGTACTTCGGTTTCCCCTGCCAATCTTCATTCTACCAATTGCTCCACAATCACCCTCGCCTATCATCTGGGGCTGGTACAATAGGCAAGATGTGGCCGCAGTACAAGGGACTCAGTCCCACTCCACTAGCAATAAAAAAAAAGGTATAGAAACCCTTGGGCATCACAAGGCTTAAGCGAAGTGCCGAGAGACCTACTACTGTAAAGAATCTTTCTGAAAAAGAAATCTGTAATAAGATCGTGTTCAACTGAGTCTGGTTAAGATCTAATGGCCATTTTACGATAGAGGTTTGAATCTTCGGGTTGCACTATCAGTGAACTACCAAATCGGATATTTCGCTGTGCATGAGTTGGAAATTCCCGGGTGTGGGAATTGCATTCAGCAAGACAGATATTGTACGTATGTGCGTAAACCTTTAGATCTCAAGTCCTACTACTACTACTACTACTACTACTACTGTACCACCACATCATCATTACTACTACTACTACTACTACTACTACTACTACTAATAATAATAATAATAATACTAATAATAATAAGAAGAAGAAGAAGAAGAAGAAGAAGAGAAGAGGAAAAGGTAGAATGCTAAGATTGCTCACAATGACAGGAACTTTTCTAGTCCCGGTGCATGGGCCTCTTTCCTTCTCTGGCGTTCAGAACGGGTGTGACGCCCACCTAGACTCTTATGCAGTGGATGCAGGGGGGGGGGTTCTCTCCCTAGAGGTAGGGCGGATGGGGCTTGAATGTAACCTTTCATTTCAATCAAGTGCCGACAAAGTTCTTGGAGCTATTCCTACACTGTCTCCTCCGTCTTCACGGAGTGGTGCTTAATTCACTACAGAGATAGCGCAGCAGCAGCAATAATAAAAAAAGCTTTCCTTGTAACAGGTCGTGGAGGCCCATAGGGTTGTGAGACGTCGAGACTCCAACATTTTCTCTAGACAATCGGCTCACAGATGGCGGTAAGGTTGTCAGTCTTACGCGCCGGCCGCCCTTTACGCCCATAAATATTCCTGGTACTCATTTCTGTTAGAGGCTGAGTCGACCCTAGGGCTATAGCGCGGCTGGAAGGATGTGATCACTTTGGGATGGTTTGCTTGAGAAGGGCCGGAGGGGGAAGAACGTTGCTTATAATAATAATATAAGCAACGTTTTTCCCCATGCGGCTCTTCTCAGGCAAACCATCGCAAAGTGACCAGGTCGGTGAACTGTGTACATGTGCCACTTTTCTTCCCGACACACGCATAGGCCACGACAAGTGCACTCGCTCTGCTTGTTTACGCCTGTTTAGCCTCCCTGTTGCTGAAGGACTATTACCCGGCTCTGAGCAACCCTTTGACCCTTCCTGCCCATTCCGCCCTGTCATTCCTATTATTACTATTTAGTTACAGCAGGTCTGGGGGTGGGGCCTCTATGGAAAGGGTTGACAGGATGGGGGTGAGGATGAATGGAGTGTGATGCTTTCACACTAAGAAGTGCTGGCATAATAGAACCTGTTGCCTAACACAAAAGGGGTGTCTTGTGACATTTACCTAATCCAATGGAGTCTTTGTTATAGAAATATGAGATTCTGTACCTCTGTCAAAATCGTAGTCACGACTTGCCTCAGGAGGGTGCATTACTGTCTTAGCCCGCCACAGGTTCGTATCCTGAGAGAAATAAATGCAGTCCACACTCTCATATCCCGTTACAAATAAACTACGTTATCATTTATTATTTCTATTATATCATAGCGTTACGTTATGCTTCTGAAATTTATTTTCTTCCGTCACCACAACAGGCAGTGTACGTCGTTTCTTGCAAAATGTTTCGGCCCATAAAGCCTTCATCAGGTATCTGACTTTTTTATATTCACCTGCAATCGTCTGCTAGTATTATTACATTTGCCAGTTTTATCACTTCATATTTTACTTCAGATAGTGGTTGAGGGGCTGTGCTACAAGCCGGAAGGTCGCGGGTTCAAGTCCCGATGAGGTCATTGGATTTTTTTTAGTTGACCTAATCCTTCCAGCCGCACTCTGGCTCTAAGAGAAATGGTTACCAGGAATTAATTAAATAATTTTCCTGGGCAGGAAAGCGCGGCCGGCGCTTAAGGCTGACAACTTTACCGCCATCTGTGAGCCGATTGTCAAGATAATGTGAGACCCTCAACGTCTCACAACCCTATGGGCCTTCACGGCCTGGTACAGGGATAGCTTTACTTTTTTTATTTTATTTTATAAAGGTAGAAGTTGTCCCTCTGCTTAATGAAATGGGCACCACATCATTAAGACGTATGGGAGACGAGGTAGCGCCCCACCATTCTTGACCTCCGCAATAGATGAAGGTGACTGGTCATATGTACACTCCGGCCGCTTTAACCCGGGGGAAAGATCTCCGGAACCAATAGGAATGAAGGCTGGGTGGGTCACTGAGTCAGTCTGGACACTGTGGAGTAGAGATAATTTTCTTACCCCTGCTGGGAATCGAACCCCAGCCTTCCAGCCCGTAGCTCCTCGCTATCCCGACTGAGCTATCTCGGCTTCTGGACCTACTGCACATGAGTTCATTATTTCTCTCATCGTCTTAATATTTCTTTATTATATCTCAATTGTTCTATGCAGGTTTTCTTTTCCGATTTGTAAGTTCCCCATGCAGTCTCACTCCCACCCCCACAGGAAGTGTGGCGCTTGAGTGGTGTGTAGTTCCGTGGGTGGCCACTAAAGTTTCGGCGTGAACAACTGTCTGAAACTTCAGGGTGGAGCTGTGTCTTCAGTTGTCTTCACTGACACTGCATCCGCAAGTCCTTCCAAATTCATTCTTCTATAGTTTGTGTACCTTGTTGGTAACAATACAACACATTTTGGTAAGAGTACAGAGTAGATTTTGTAGTAATTTTATAGAATTAGCCGAAACACGAGCGACAACTAGTAGGAGTGGGGGAAGGCACGCGGAGGAGTCGTAACTGCGTGGGACGGACGGAGTGTGTATTCTTTCCCTGACCCGACTATGCAACTTCTATGGCTACGGACTGTTAGTTGCTCCAACTCTCAAGTTGGAAGATTACTGAACTAGATTGGTCTGGCTCAGGATAGGGACCATTGGAGGGCTCTTGTGAACACGGCAATGAATTTTCGACTTCCATAAAGTGTTGGAAATTTCTTGAGTAGCTGAGCGACTGGTGGCTTCTTAACATGGGCTCTAAGCACAACAGATCACCGTGGTCGCGGTGCAAGAACCCTTGTACTTTCATAACATGGACTCAGCTCCATGGAGTTACTTACTAAATTTCACCACGTGAATAATCACGAGTCTACTTATATAAAAGACTGGATATGCAAGGCGCGTTACTCAGATTCTCAATGCGTATTCCCACCTGATTAAGAGCAGCTGGAAACATTTTGGTGCTGTATATGATATTTTAAAGTGCCAGATGTTATGCGCCTGAAGGCACCATGTTTAGTTACCATGACGACGTCAGCAATACGCCCTGGACCTTCCCCACATTATATCGCGAACGCACTTATAAACGCATAGCACGCAATACCACCCCCGACATCACGTGACTTATA